TCTTTCTCAAATAAGCAATTTTATCTAGAAGGAATGGAATAAAATAATGAATTGTGAAAGTATGAATTAAATTCCACATTGCTGCTGTACAGATTTCAGTTATATGCAGATGATGAACTAAACCTATAGATCATACATGATGAGTTATGCCTGATATGTGAAGAAACCGTAAACTAAGGTACTATCAGGAGGTGCTCTATATCCTTCTGGCACTCTTACAGCTGTTCTATGAATTATCTGGTCATTATAGTCCATTAAGGAGCTTCCAAACTGAAATTGTTTATTTATTATTATGATGCTATAAATAATCTTTGATTTTTTTTTTCAAAGATCCATAATTACCAGTGCAAAAAATGTAGTGTGCCATGATTTAGGTCACTTGGTAGATTAATTCTTGGGGAAAAAGTACTTTCAATATCGCGATGAAGATGAACACAAAGCTTCACAATGCAGTTAGTCAAAATTCCTGCTAGCCTGTATCTTGCAGTGGGTGGACACCAATTTAACTTCTGGTGTCTGATGACATGATTGATCTGTTCATTAGAAGAAGATCTCTCCTTACTGATTGGTTTGTAAGGACAGACACTATGGACTCCAGCATTTACAAGAGAAAAAAAGAATTGACATCTATATCATGTAAAGTGAATCAGGAACTCTGGGGAGACCTGAAACAAGTGAATGCATTTAGAGGGAAAAAAGCTATTAAATTACTGGGAAAACATTATGTTTTGTCAGATAAAGTTCTGGTCTTACAATGGCAATCTGTCTTCTTCCAAAATACCAGGTCTCGAGCATCTTTTCTTTCTATTTGATAGGGCATGAAAACAAATTTTTGAAAACCTGAAGAACACAAAAGGCAGTTACTTGCTTTCACTCAAGCCTCAGGAAAATATTAAGTAAAGCTTCTGTCTGTAACAGAAACCACTGATACATTCTAATCTTAGGAGAGAATAATAGTTATATGTACCAGGCCATGTGTCTGGGTTAAAGGGAAATAAGGCATAGGAAAGCTTTAATTTCAGGCTAAACTAGCCAAAAGCTCCTATTCCTCTAACTGAGATTTCTTCTTCTTCCTTAAAAATTGTAGAATATAATGAACCAGTGCCGTATTGAACAGCCCTGGTGAACTTTTCAGCTTAGTTATTAAATTTCAGGTGTTAATCCGGGTAGTGTCCAGGTTCAGTGTAATAGGTAATAGGAACACTTAATCTGAAAGAAAAAGTTATTTTCAAAATTATTACTAGCATGGGCAGCATCATTGTGCCTCAATCCAGTAGCAGCCTTTTTTTAAAGATTCAGAAAGCCCAAAAATGTTGTTTATATGAAGTGCTGGCTGTCATTTCTGAGGCCTTACTTGGTCTGAATAGACAATGCCTGTTGGAACCCTTGGATTGTGATTGATCTTTTCTTGAGGGGAGTGTGGGTAGGGCCCAAGAAACTTGAAAGCACTTAAAACAGATTTTTGTTCTATTAATATTCTGTTGTGGCAGTTTAGATCAAATATGTCACCTTTAAATGTGTTGTTCTCAGATCTTCTCTTTGCTTACGCATTTGTAGCCTGTGTCTAGGGTAGTTGTGCTGAACCAGATCCTTTTGAGTCTCAGAAGGATAAAATCTCCTGTGGCTTTGCCAGATACTGCAAATCAGTTATCTTTCCCTCAGATCTTGACAATCATCATTACCTGTTTTATAGAAGCATTGAAATTGGATTTACTGATGCTTGTAAATTTAGTCAAATACGTTGCCTAAATTACAAGAGCATTTAAATTCTTTTACAGATAATTTACACCAGTAAGATAATTGTAAAATATGTAACCCAGTTTTTAGGTAGTTCCCGTACCTTCTTGCTTGGGAAAAATAAGGTAGATACTAGTGGGATTTTTAAGGCCTGCTCTTTCAGGAGCTATTTGAGTGATCAGAAAATGGTAACTCTGCACTGAAGTGACAATCTCCTCTTCACTGACTAACGCTTATGCAACTGGACATTATAGTCTGATATTCATGTAGTTGTACCATTAATGGAAATTCTACTTAAATACAATTTTCAGATTCTTAGCAGCCACAAAAGACAAGGACTGGTAGAGATGCAACAAAATGGAAACACAAGTTGAAAATACTTAGAGTGGTTTCAAAACTATAAGATTAAGATAGATGCCTTCAAAGACAGAAGGGATGTTGATAAGCAGGATGGAAAAGCTATCAAGAGACACCATATGTTTTCCCCATATTTATTGAAAAAACCCCTCATTCTGATATTGATACTTTATCTTTCTGTTCATGAAGATGATAGAAGACTGACAGAATAGGACAGCAAGGGTGGAAAACCAGAAAAAAGCCCTGCTTATGTGTCTAAATTTACTAGGTTTGCTTCTGTACCTGAGGCACTGAGTTTTGGATAACAGTATAGGAAACTTTTGTGGCTGATTAGAGCTAATCTAAACTGCCAATCTTTTTTAAGGGGATTAGAGTTAACAGTCAGCAAAATGCAGGAAGGAAACATCAAAGTGCATATCAGAAGATTAAATATAGTAGCAAAGGGAGAGAGAAAGGGTAGAAAGGCTTGAGAAACAAAAATGCAAAGGAAAAGAAATCATTGGTGTCAGAGAAAGAAACACATGAACCAAAATACCGATTCCTACCTACTGGGGAGAATTACTGTCTGTGGATATTGAAACTTTTTTATCAAACACTGGTGTCAGAACTGAGAAAGGCAGCTTTAGGATGTATAAATTACTGTGGTTTTGCTAGATGTTAACTGTTAACAGTAATCTAAAATAAAAACAGTAACTCAGTAATCTAAAATTACTGAGAAGTGGAGAATATAGAGATTAGCTATGTTAATTATTCTCTTAGGTAAAGTACTCACGGTGGAATAGTGATGTTTAATCGACAAAGTGTTAATCCAATAGGTAAAACATAAATTTGACACAAAGAAATCAACAAAGGAAGCTGTTGCTGAAAAAGGTGACTTCAATATATGTATTTGGTCCTATCTCTCTTACACTTCACATTTGAGTTGAGAATTTTTAGTCAGTAAGTTAAATCATTGCAGTACAGAGAAGAGCCTTTCCAAAGTAAGAAAATAGCATATTTTCTCCAATTATGATCTATCAGTACAGGTGTTAAATTAGTTACAGGCTTTGCTAAGAATTTTCCTTCTACTTTATACAAAATGTGGAAATTTCAGAACAAAAAAAAGCATTTTTTCAACAAACTAGAGCAGGTTGAAGTCATGCCTCTGTCATGCCATTGTATACTTAGCACTAATGAAAATGCATCGTCTCAGTTTCTGCCATTTATTTTATTTTTAAAAAATTGCAGGCATACTTTATGATCATTTTTACCTGAAGTTGTCTTTAAAACTATTTTGTGATTTTTTTTTTTTTAATCCAAGCATTCCTTGTACCCTTTAAAACATTACTTCTAAATGAGTGTATAAGTTGGCTTCTTCTGGTGTGACTAACTGCTGCTTCATAAGTGTGAGGAGTGTTGTGATGTAACTTTCCACGCTGGTCTAGTGTGCAGCCTGCCCATCTTTGTTGCAGTCAGTGATACTTAAATATATTCCAGACATCAGATCATACCTTTTGTTCCCTTATGTACTGTGTTATGTGTACTGAACATGCACCGAGATTGTAAGACGCACAAAAGACTATTTGCACCTCTGAACACCAACCCCTCTCTTCTAGTAGCAATTTGCTACTTTGCTGGCTTTGGGTGATGGGCTCCTGGAACCCAGGAAATGGCAGGGAAATGGTCACCAAGACATGGAATTAAAAGGTCTAACAGCTGCATATAGCACTGTTTGTTTTAGCACTGGCACCACTGATGTTGTCCATGCAGTGAGTATATTTTTCTTCTTAGAATCAGTGTAGGTGACAGAAATGAAAAGTGGTGGTAACAAAGAAAGACTCTTGGGATGGCATATGATAGCCCAGTAATAAGTACAAGCTAAATGGCCAACTGATGTCACTGCAAACCTGTTTTTTCTGCCTTTTGACAAGGATTTGTCTTGACTGATCTAATAATCCTGAAATATGTATCCTGGTTTGCTTCTTGAGGATACTTGAATGTTGTTTGGACACAATATTTTGTTGTGGTTTATTATTTTGGTTTTGTTGTTGGTTTTTGTTGGTTTTTTTTTAAACAGAAACCATCTCCACTTTCATGAGAGTTATCTCTCCTGACACCATCTGCTATGTGTGACAGTTCTGCCCTCACTGGCAGTTTTCTGTGTTGGGCTGGTTGTGGCAGCTCAGAAGCTGTGTTACTTTGTGCAAGGATACTGAAGGGAGAAAGTGGGGATGAAAGATGTATGAAAGCAAGTAACTCTGAAATCTGAAATTCCAAGTGCCTTTTGGAATCTGTGGTGTTATGAATCAATATTTCTTACTGGTGGATCTTTACAATGTTACTTTGTTACTGATTTTTAACAGTGAGAAAAGTTCAGCTTCTCCTGTACTGACAAAAGTACTTCAAATTTATGCATTGCAATAGTTAATTCAGTCCAGCAGATACTCAAATATTGAAAATGCCTATAGTTGAGTCATGCAATTTCTTCTGTACATGTCTCCACTTCCTTTTTATAAAGTTGTTTCAGGACGGGCATTCTTTTTGAGAGAGATTCCTTATTTTGGGGAAGTACATTGAACATGCCTCCTTTTAGACATAATACATGAAATTCAAGCAGTACTGAAGAACAGCTGCATTTTTCTATTATATAATGGGAAATGTCTGGGATGGCTAGCTTCCTAGGCTAGGCACCAGGAGGTGTGGTGTGGCCCTTGTCTCATTGAAGTCTGGGTCTGAGTGAGACATACTGGTAAGGTATCACAAGTCTTACCCCACAAGATTCCTAGGGTACATTACAGATTCTTAAGGATCACTAAGACTTGCAAGATTCTGACAAACTGCAATCATCTATTTAGGTAATAGTGCCAGTGATTGCTTTCCACTAATCTAATTTACACTCTGTAATTATTTGCATTCATTTTCAACAGGCTCTTCTGTCCAGTTCAACTCTATGGAAAGCCTGACACATTTTCTTCAATTCCATGAGATAGTAATGGCGCATAAAGAGGAGTTTCTACCGTGCTCTGCAATGGAAAAGCACTGGAGTTTCTATAAAGAATGCAAAGATTTTGGATTCTAAAGACTTATTGAGTGCTAATACATTTTTCTTTGCCATCATTTAAAAGTAAACATTTGAGCTTTAGAACTAAGTATTTTGCTGCTGTCATTTTGATTAATCATTTGTCCAGCACATGGGATGATAGAAAGTTTGTTTGGGTAAGTGAGGAACAGGGAAGTACTTAGTAGCAGGCAAAGACAACTGTCAATGTTTACTCTTGCACTGCAAGATTAAGGAATGGGGAAGTAGATAGGACTTAGACACTGATACGCATTGTGAAATATATTCCAGGTTGATTACTTGGTGTGAACTTTTAAGTTTTTATTTAAGATCAAAGTAACTGCCCATGCTTGATGGGGCAGGACAGAAACAGACAGGCAGCAACACTCACAGTCACTTCTTACAGCTAAACCTGAAACTGCTATGGCTGAGCATGTGCTATCAGAAATGGCAAGGCGTGTTTGTATAGTAACATAAACTGTTAAGTTAGGCAAAAATTCAAGATGAGCAGCCTTGAAAATCATCAGCAGCTTTGCATTATGTGGCATGCATACATATATAAAAACATTTGAGAAGGGGGGCAGGTGCTCAGAGAGGTAAAAAGAGGAATCTTAGGTATTGGAAGTGCTCCAGAAAATTCCATTCATGTTTGAGCCAAATCTCTCTGATAGACAGAAAATATGCTGGCATATGACAGGAAATGCAATTAGCCTGTTTGTGGAACATGAATTTTTCCAGGTAACAGCATCTTGGATATTCATCCCAATCTCTGGGGAATTTCTGTTTGTTTAAATTTTACAATGTTTGAATCTGCTTTAGCAGCATATTTGTAACAGACTTGACTGTTAAGAGAGTTATCTGCATTCAATTGATATTCTTGCTCTTTCTTTCTTTGGATTGTAAGAAGAGATGGAATAATAATAGTACCTGCTACTCCTAACTCCAGTGAATAGGATGGGAAGTATCTCCTGTTAATACATAATGTCAGCAAGCTATTGGAGTGTGAAGAGCTCTTCTGCAAAGATCTGATTAGTGTCTTAAACAGAAGTTGGTTTAGGGAAGTGAAAGGGTTCTGATGTGCAGGGAGCTAGTACTATGCCCTAGAATGCATGAGCAATCATAGCCTGATGGGCTGTAAGAATAAAGAAATGCCAATGGCCTGGAAGTCAGAAAAGGTAAAAGCTGCTGAGTGACAGGTATTTTGTAAAGTCAGTTTCACAAAGAAAGAAAATGGAGTGTTCTCACAACTGCAGCAGCAAAACAAACCTGAAGGCATATTGTTTCAAAGGAAGTGCTCATTCAAATACTGTGCTTTCACTGAAAAGTAAAAGGTATTTGACTGTTAAAATGACCTCTGAATTATGTTTGTTTGTACATTTTTTCTTTGTTGCAAGATGTCTAATAAAATTAATGTACAAAACCTGGGAGAATTTGACAGCACTATTTTGGTTTATTATATTAATGTGATTACATGACCTAAGGCAGTCCTAAGATACAGTGACAGAAAATTGAATGAGCAAGCTGAGCAAAGAGGTAAAAATGCAAAGTGCTACATGAAAACCACTGTCTCTTATAGATGCTGCATGTAAAAGTAATCTACTACTGAAGCTTTTTTCAGTTTTTCAGTTTTATATAAGCATCTTGAGAAAGGCATTAGCTTGTCAACATATGGCTTAATATGACTAACAAATGTAGGATTCTGCTCCCCAGATCTTAAAACTGAATATTCTCTAATCTCCCTGCTGGAATCCTTTGATCTTAATGTAAAGGTCCATTAAGAGAGAAAAAACTTAAACCATCATGTTTTCCCAGTTTAAATTTATGCTTTTTAAGTGTACTTTTGCATAAAAATATAAGTGGTTGTCACTGGTGAAAGATGGGCAGCTGTTAGTGATGCTAACTGAAGCAGAGTAACAAAGCTTCTACTCATAAGTGGCAGGTCACCCTCCCAGCTGCTTTCGTGATTCAGTTCTTTTATTTAGTAGACCTCTTCTCTACTCCTAGGCTGTGAATTTGCACTTACTTCATGTGGTGCAGGATAAAGTAAAAAAAGGATCTAAAATGCAAATATTAAGAGAAAAGTCCTGGCATTCTGACTGCTGTTAATATTCACATGGAGAATAAAAGAAGAAAAAGGTGATGCAAAAAGCCAAAAATTCAGATTCATATTTCTGCAGAATTATTTATTTTTTGCTGACATGGAATTAAAAAAAAAAATCTGGGGAGATTAATACCAGTAAGGAAGAATGCAAGAATCAAAATAAAAGAATGAGTGAGGAGGAAGATAAGCAGGAGGCAGACAATATAACACAAGATCCGTAGATTTTAAGGCCAGCAGGAGCCAGTGTGACCTCCTGAGTAACACAGGTCAGAGGTCATGAAGCTCTGTAAGCAAGGGAAACACGTGGAGAAGAGGAAGAAAGTAAAGGCAGGTGCAGAGAGAGCTAAAGTCATTTTAAGCAGAGGATCAACACAAAACATTGCACCTTCTTGCCAGGCAAAGCGGAACAGGTCAGGGAAGAGAATAATGGGAATGAAAGCCAGCCTTGGGAAAGGTATTTACCGTACTCTAAGGCAATACTGCTTGGGTTTTTGATGGTGGAAATGCAGCTAAGGGGGAGGGAGAAGGATGAATAATGTTGCCATAGGAGTTTGGATAAATTCTTGAAACAGTTGAATTTGGCAAGTGTTTTGTCATGATGACACAAAGACTTTTTTTCCTGGTCTTCAAAGCTTAATACTAAACTGGAGGAAAATACTCTGTTCAGATCAATAGCTTGAGCAACTGCCTACATGAGACTTGGGCCCTTTATTCTTATCACCAGTAGTTAGTTAACTAGATGGGTAGGAAATTATGGGGTGATCTGACATTTGAAGTGCTAAGTTACTGGCCATGTCAAGGAAAACATGACACGGGAGGGAGTAAAACATTTCTAAGGAATGGGACTTCAGAACAGGATTCAAATAACTTTTTATGTGATTTTTGTGTCTATGTCTTTCTGAGTTATAGATGTGGGGTTTCTTGTTGGGGTGTTTTTTTTTTAAAACAAAGCTTTGGCTTTGTCTGTGGCAGGAGGTTTTACCATTTACACCAAAACTGGTGTTGCAGAGTAACCTACAGGTGAGTTTTCCAGCATCCGTGTCCTTTTGATTTCACTTACGCATTTCTGTGGTGAGAGCTCAAACACCAGTTACATATAACTTGGTCACAGTGGCTTATGCAATTACCAGCCTTAAGCCGGGCTGTCACAGCGGTACTCAGCTGCAGGGTCAGCGCTACAGCAGCAGACAGATGCTCTCCGGTGCTGTGGCGTCTTCCACATTTCTCACCGAGCCGGTGCACCAAGGGCCCGAGGCTCTCTGCGAGCAGAGCCAACAGCTTGGCCTGATCTTAAAACACCAGCCTTAAGCTGGAAGTGGCTGGGGAGCTGCAGTCTTCCAGTGCAGCGGCAGGTTATTTCACTGCTAAATAAAAATATTAAAACGTCCCCAACCAACCTGCTGTAAAGCAGAGGCTTAATGCCAGGGTGCAGCTTATTCAGAGCTGCAGCTATTGCCGCGCCTCGTGCCCGCCCGCCCGGGACGGCAGCAGCCTCTGCACGGCTGTGCGCTCCCGCGGCAGCCGAGACGAGGACAAGAAGCCTGGGCCGGGACTCGTCCCCAGCCCTGCCCTGGCCCTGTCTTGCCGCCCGGTCGAGCCGGCTGTAGTGTTTGGGAAGCTCCTCGGCCGCTCCGCCCCCGAGGGGCAGTCGTGGGGAAGTCGGTGCCGCGTTTGCCGGAGGGGCGGCGTGGAGGCGGCGGGTTCCTCCCGCTCCCAGGTGCTGGCGGGGACCTCACCGTCACCTCCCACTCGTCCTCCTCGTCCTGCCCGCCAGGTTTCGGGGCGGGCGGCTGCCCTTCTTTTTTCCTCCACGTCATGGAGGAAAATGCTGTGCCGCACACACATCACAGAGCGTGCACACGAGAGCGCCCCTTCGACCGAGCAGGGCGCCGGCCCGGGACGGCCGCGATCCGCTCGGGTGAGTGCGCGACCCGCGGGCACGTCCCGGGACAGCGGCGGCGGGAGGTCCGGCCCGCCGAGCCAAGCCCTAACTTCGCGGAGCGGGCAGCAGCTCCCGCCCTCCTCCCGGCGGCTTCGCTGTAGCCGCAAATTTGGATGCTCGGCCGTGGCGGCGGAGTTTGGGAGGAGAAGGAGGAAAGGGCGGCACTGTGCGACTCCGCGGGAGCGCAGCGGGCGGCGCTGCGCGGGGCAGAGCGCCGGGCCGGGCCGGGCCGGGCGCGGCGCTGCAGGCGGCCGGAGCACGAGGAGGAGGGTCGGTGCCCGTGCTGCGGGAGAGCTCCGGTAAGAAGGTGCTGTTTGTCTTAAAAGTTAGTTAGGGTGGGATTTTGCGTCTCAGGAACAGGGTGCGGGTGTCCGGAGCCGGGGCACACACCTGCCCGCAGCCCGGCTGGCAGGCGGTGCACCCAGATGTCGTAGCCTCGTAACCTTCTCTCCAGAATCAACAGTTACACCAACTCAAAGTCAGGTTTAGTAAGAGGAATCGGGGTTGCTGTGATGTTGGCATTTTTTCGTTTCCCGGTAAATTGTTCAGAACGTTCATGCAGCTGTGTTCAAATGTGCCAAGTGCACTTAGTCATTTCTTTAATATGGAAAGAGGTTCTTTTTCCTTGTAAAGAAACAGAAAGTAACAATAGCAAGAACCGGTCAGAACTTCTTTTTTCCTCTAAGACAGACAGTAGCATTTTGTCCCTTATTGTTGGGTCAGCAGATTTACTAATACCAGAATAAGGCTTAGAAAAAGAAGACCTTACGGGGGACTTGCGCTCTGTCCCACCTGAGGATCTGCTCTACTGAACATCCTCTGACTCATTCCAAATATCTAATCCATATCTAATATGGATATAATATCTAATCCAACCTATTTCATTTTGAGATAGGCATATTTCCTTAATAGTAGCCTTTTTGCATAAATAAATTTCCTTAGTAGTAATCCTTTTGCATTTGGTTGCTTGTGAGAGAAACAGCTGAGGGGCAGAGATGGTAGATAAACTTGCTGCTGAAGTGGAGGTGATTAACAAAGAGCTGCTTGCTTCTTTCAGCAAGGGAATTACAACAGTCGAGTGACACTGGGAGGCAGAAGATTGAAAGCAAGTACAAGACAGTGGGTTTTTACACTATGCTCAAGTGAGCTGTGGCGTGTTGCGCTGCACCCCCACACTCCCTAGTCTCTGCGAGTCAGAAAGCTTATGCAGGTCCAAAAATGACTGGATGAAAGAATGCAAAATTTCATAAGAAAATGGCATTTGTAACCTGTCTTTGAAAACTTCTAAGCTGTAAGGAAATGGATCTGGAAATGTGGAGGTGTTAAAAGAATATTTGTTCTTTCTCCTGTTTCCAAGCGTCAGCTTTTGACTACTATGAGCCAACATCTTGGGCTGGATGGCCTCCATGGATATGATGTGATTGTTCTTTCATGCAGATAGCTTTTCTGAAATGGTTGTAGAAAGGGAAGTGAAATGCTACAGTATTTGTACAACTGTGGTTTCTGGTTTTATGCATCTGATAGTGGTGGGTTTTGGCCCAGTTCTCATGTATTTTTGTGTATGCTGCCCAGCTGTAAAGGCATTTAAAGATTACCAGCAAACCTGGCTAATGCATTTTTACATATGTATAGTATAAATTAGTAATTTGTAAGTATTATAACTTTGTGAAAAGCAGTAATGGTGATAAGGAGTACATTCAAGTTTCAGTTTCTTGGGTTGGCACCACCTCTGTGTGTTATTACACTGGGTATTCAGACCCCCAAGAAAGGGACACACTGAAAACTGCGTGTGCACCAGGTTCTGTAGGTTTTGTGGTTCATAACCTGTACTATGCATGGTATTTTATGTGCAAATTATTCTAGTCAGTCAACAGGCTGGCTGTGACCATCCTATAAATGCCTTGCTGAGTGGCAGGAGACTGTCTGAAATAAGTCCAGGTAAGTTCAGAGGAATTAAGCTTAAAGCATTTACGTAGCAGTTACAGCTACAGAGTCATCAGGAGTCATATAGTGACTCCAGCTTTTGAGGTCTTCCAAGAAATATTGATAAAGGAACTAAGAAATGTACCAGATGAGTCATAAAAAGCTCATTTCTGCAACATGAACAGTGGGGTGCTGAATCCAGCAAGGGAGTACATTTTGCGTAATTGTCAACAAGTCAAGCCTCATCAGACGTCTCCCTGAAACACTCCAAGAAGGCTTCACCAGGGTTTGCGATGTGGCCAAGTGTGAGGCAGAGATCAGTCTGCTTTTAGTACAAGAGAGACAGCTGTGAAGAAAGAGGAGGTCTTTGATTGCCCCACACCCAGATAAAGGCAGGTGATGGGGTCGCTACCAGCCTGTCAGAGATCCACCCATCCTCCTGCAGCAGGCCCTGTTGTATTATCACGGCTGCATGGCTTGTCTGGGGCATCAAGAAGCTAGCAGGATTCCCTGCTGCCAATCAAAGATCTTTTCCTGGGTTGACTGTGGAGTGCAGTTGGCCCGTGTGTGTTTTTGTGGGGCATTGTTGTTTGCTGGGGGAGGTCTTTCTTTCTTGATTTCCAGGCAGGGACAAGTCAGCATCCTAAATCTTACTCAAAAGATGCATAGCTGTCTGCAGACATTTTTCAGTTTTGCATGTGCTGGGAGCTTTTGTCTCATGGAAAATGTCCCATTTTCTTAACTTTTTAAAATCAATTTATAACACATTATATAATTGGCCACAGTACCCTCCCATCATACAGAAAAGAGTGACCCAGCTACTGTCTTGCCACATTGCATCTTATACAAACAGAGGCTGCCAATATTAATAGTCCATATTAAGGAATCTGGATATGTTATTTCTGTATAATTTCACAGTGCTGGGGACAATAAGCTAAGGCAGGACTGCAGGAGCTCTTGAATCTGTGACACCCAGAACCCTCTTTGGGGCTTATGACACTCAGCCTGCTTCAGTCACAAAAGTGCAGTTTATAATTCTGTATCATCTGGGAGACTGGTGATGAAGAGGAGGCTGGTGTGTGTATTTTGGTCAAAATGTGGATGGAGAGGAGGCCAATGCTACATGTACCTTAGGAATACTGCTGCAGTGCTTTCCTCGAGGGAAAATACCATGATAGTTGTTTGTGGTATACACAAATAGTACAGTGTTTAGTTCCTCAAATTTCTTTGTAAGCATCACACACAGAAAAGTTAGGTATAAAAGCCCAGAAATTTATTTCTTTATTTCTTTTCTTTTTTATACGGAGTCTTTGTATACCATTCAAAGTACTTATGTATAGGTGAATTGCAATGCAGGTCATCATATTTAAAGAGAATTTCAGGAAGTGTCATGAGTGTCATGTGGGTCTCATAACAGTAGCCCAAACTCCTGGCCTTAGCTTAGTGTCAGAGCTGTTTTATTTGTGGAGGGAGCAAGGCTTCTGACACCCGGAGTCTTGGTACCTGAAGTGTTACATGCATCTTAAACTTGGTGCGTCTTTTGACAGACTCCTCGTGTCCCAGTGCTTTCCTGTCTCTCCCCAAGTCCTCTTTACTTTGCTGGAGAAGGAAATTAGGTTGCTTTGATGTGATCTGTTCTTTTTATGGTGTTCCTTTCTCCCTGTCTTCTTGGTGCTTAGAAATGCTATGTGAGTAAACAAAAATATATGCTTCTTATACAGATAATGCCTTCCACAGCTTAATAACAATAAAACCTTCCCAACTAACCTGCAAAAAAGCAGAGGCTTATGAGTTCAGAGCTGCAGCCATAGCCACCCCTGGGACTTACCATACCAAGTCTCCATGTTCACTTTTTTTCAGCTAACATTTTACAATTTTCTTTTGTAATTTGTGCAAGAAACAGTGTCATCCCACTACTTCTGTATGTCCGACTTCAAACGCACGTGAAGCACTGATGCTGGTGGGGGCTGCAGGCAGTGGCAGGATGGAGCAGACACCAGGACTGGGTTTGCCCACCAAGCTGGCTGTACACATATTGATCTCCTGGGACAGAGCACCCTAAAGAGGGGAAGAGAACACAGCAAAGTCCTGGAGGTATGTCTGCGGCTCTCTTTGATGTGGTCTTACTGATGTGACAAGGTGTGACTTTGGGGGGGGTGGGGGGGGAAATGACTTAAAGAGTGTGATTTACAGTGGGGGTTTGCAGACTAGAGGCTGCAGGCAGCTTGGTGGTGGGGGGAAGGAAATGGAGAAATATTTTGAGCTGTTAATGGGAGTTTTTCTGCAGTGCTGTGCAGTTTCTCCTGCTTCCCTGTCTAACAGGAAATTTCCACCCTCTTTTACAGTGCTTCTCCTTGCCAATGAACACAAATTCTGTCCCTTTGGGTCTAATTTTTATGTTATTCTATAGTTTAAAGGTTAACCCTCTCTCCACTGTAGTACTGTTGCTTTAAACTCCCATATGAGGTGGAAAAAAGCTGTTAAATGCTAGATTGCCACAAATTAGAAGGGACTAAACTCTGTTTGTTGGAGTATGTATTTGTTAGTGGGATTTTGTTTATTTGTTTTCTTGACTCCTGCCTTTATAGTACTCCATGTGCTTGGCAAGCACGGATACCCCCCTTGTCACAAAGTCAGAAAATTGAAATTCTCAATGTATAAGCATCAGGCTTAGGAATTTTGACTGACTATCTCTATGCCTTCTTAACACTTTCTTGCTTTAAGAGGGCTGCAAATCCTCTGACTGGCATGACACAGTAGTATGGGATGTACCAAGGGATTTGCTGAGAGACTTTTCAGGCCTTCAGCAAAAGAGCTTTCATGAAAAGTTTCTGCAAAGTTTCATGTAAAGCAGTTCAGATTAGTTGGGGTTGCAGAGGAATTATGTTCTCTCTTGTGCTGCTTGCATGATCCTGCAGAAGTTGGTTGCCTCTTTTCCTGGCCAAAGAGCTGAGACATTGATTTTCTTTACCTTGACAGATCTCTGGGACGTGAATGTGCTGAAATTGATATATTTTCCTGAAACTGTGAGGATTGCCACTGGAGGCAACTGGAAAGGAGAATCCAGCCTTTTCTAAAGCGCCTACAGAGAGCTGGAACTGAGTGGCAAACAGACAAGCAAAGCAACTTACTGTCTGCACAGGAAGTTCTGCTGGGAAATACAGATCCTGTGCAAGAAACAGTCCTCGTGATTAGTACTGGGACAAAGTTGCGTGTGATATCCACAACTGCCAGATCTTTGCTGTGTTTCCTAGGTATGTGGCAAAAACCTGTCTTTCTGCTTCCAGAAGCAAAAACCACACTGTGCTAAATTGTAGTAATTTCTTACTGTTTTTCATTGGGACACTCTGCTGGTTTAAGTCTTCACAGTCTTAAAATTGGCAGGTTTATAATCTAATTACTTCTAAAAATGATGACATATTTTTCCATGTCTTGCAATTAAGTGTTTAAGTAATTGAAGTTACTTAGCTCTTTAGTTGTCCATCATTCAGAGAAAATGTAGTGAAAAGTAAGTAATCTAACTTATTCAGGCAAGCCAAAACAAGGGGGTGAGATGTGCAGAATGAGGCTGGTGCTAAGTGTAACTGTGTTGGAGGGGCACAGGCTGAGGCTCCAGTGCAGAGCAAGTGGGTGGAAACTCAGACAAACTTGATAGAATCAACTTATTGAGATTTAATGACAATAAAATGTACTCCTACAGAAGTCCCATGATCCCTGTCAATAGATAATTTTGCAGTGGAAATAACCAGCTAACAGCAGTAAAAAAAAAAAGCACATTAATAAATTAGCTTTTCCAGTTAGCAGCACTGAATAGTTAAGTAGTGTTAAAAGTTTAATTCAGACAGATACTTTACAAAAAATTAAAATAAATAGCTTAGGAAAGTACACAATTACTTTTCCTCTTCCCTACTTTCCCAGGAACATCATCCCCTCTGTCTTTCCCAGACCTATCAAGGCCCAGACTTGATTTGTATAGACCACAGGGAAAACCAGGAGGAGCTAACTAAATTTTTGCACAGGGTTGGTCATGCAAACCACCAAGTTTGCATTGCTGTGTGAGCAGGTGTGTTTTAAACAAACAGAGGTGTTTTATCAGGGGGAACTTTCCTGAAGTGTTTTTACTTCCAGGAGAGGTAATTGTTCTGTCGTTAAGTTCCTGCTTTATGTAGTAATGGTGTTGGCTGCTGAAATAGGCTGTGACCTGGTTTCCAAGGAAAGGTGTAGACACTGGTTCTGCTTCAGCTGCCTTTGAGTGATGGGCGTGTAACAGGTTAGAGAAATCACTTGTTCTGCTACTCTGATTTTTGTTGTTGTTGTTAATGCTACCTACATGAAAGTACTTACCCTTTTCAATCCCTCTCTCTGTTGGGCTTTTTTGTAATTTCCCAACCTCTATTCTGCTACTCCTGCTCTTCTCAGCACCTATTCACTTTATTTTTTTTTAACCTAGGTGACAGCAAGAAGTTTGATTCATGCTGTACATATCAGAAGGGTTCCTTCATGCAAGAAAGAATCACATGTTGGGGTAAAAGCACTCCTATTCCCCTACAACTGTTCTCCCTCTTTCATCTTCTTCCACAGACTTGCACTCAATCTTGACCTTTTCACTTAACTCTTGCTCTGTGGCAAGCAGAGAAGCAGGCGGCCTGGCAGCGCTTTCATAGCAAGCCCCATGTATTTCAGATCCACTGAGGAGAGAGCGCTGCCTGCTTGCAGCCTGAAGTTTCCAAGAATCCCTATTCTAGTAGCAGTCAACATGTCTTGTCAGTCTGTGCTCTGGGCAAACCAGTCCCAAGCAGATGGGACAGAAGACAAGAGGTGGTTCCCACAAACTGGCTCTCTTGTGTGGCACCAGAAGTGATTTGTGGCATCTGTGGAAAGTCACAGACCTCTTTGATTGGTATTGCTTAAGTAGAAAAGAAGCATTATAAATGTGATAATGCTGTGCATTAGGAGAGATCCTGGCTTTTGTTTTCTGTAGCTCAATGTAGCTGGGGGTTGAGATTGGATTTTTACTTGCCTACTGAGGAGGTCCTTCAGGAAGGACTGGCAGAGGGCAGGGGCCAGTGGGCATTGATACATACCTTGTTTTCCTCAGGAAAGTTGTGATGCATTGGTTATTACAGGCAGACAGGTAACAGGATTTCCTCAGGTAGTCCTGCCTGCATGCCTGCTGCTAAGCCAGTTGCTTCCAACACCAAAGGGATGCCTTTCCCTCTCCATGGTGTCAGCTCTCTTTGAGCAGAGATCCCTTCTTTTTTTCCTGAACAAAACCCAACCTTCAAAGCAGGAGTTTATCCTTCTACCTGGAGGTACATCTGATATCTTAGTGCCACCAGGTTCTGTGCTTCCTGTGATGGACCTGGATGATGCATAATGGCTCCAACCAGCAGGCAACATCCAGGGAGCTTGTGGGCAATGTAGATTTACCTGGAAGCTTCTACTTTGAATCACTGAAGCACTTGAGTTTAATGCAGCACAGTCTGTATCAGAAAAGACAAGGAGGAAAGGGAATGGAATGCTGGGGAGTTGAAAAAATCTGTATTTTCTTAAACAAGGTAGTTCAGAAGCTTCTAATTCAATGTGCTCTGAATACAAACTGGACATACTGGGAACACCTCTGCACTGTGTGGACAACAGGTGAGACTTGCCATCCCGAGCAAGAGGAATGTGACAGCTGGTAATTTATTCCTGCTCAGGGTGAAGGGAGCCACAGACTCCTCTGCAAGAATGACGTTGGCATCACAAAGTTGCACAGTCTGGGAGTCTGGGTACATTGAGGTTGTGAAAAAAGCAAAAATAATAGTGTGAGGAGTGGCAGTAATGCCCTGGTCTCTCACAGGAACCAGGTCTCCATAATACTATTGGAGTCTTATTAAAGTGAAGACGCGTTTTCAGAGACACAGTGTGAGCCCAAAGCCTGCTGGTTTCTTTGTGCTGCTGAATGGACAGCAGCACCTGTCCATTCCTCTGAGCTCTCAAATACCTCCTTAAACATTTGCAGAGGGGTGTCCTCAAAGAAGCTGCTGTAGCGCTGGTGTATATGAGCCATTGGGGGTCAGCCAGAGCAGGATCTTGGTTCTCTGAGTGAACTCACACTTGTGCTGGCTAGAGAAGCTTCCTGGCTTTTCTCTGTTGCATCTGAGTACCACTCTGGGCTGGAGGAGCTGCTGGGGTATTCCTGGCAGAGGATCAGGGTTGTGTGCGATACTGCTACCCATGGAATTCCTCACACTGGACAGCAGCAAGGCTGTGCCATTGCAAGCAGGGTTGGCAGAGCAATGGCAGTTACAGTGCAAAAGCTGGGCTTTTTCCTGGCTTCTCTTTGTTGTGACCATGACTTCTCCAGGGATGCTTCATCCAGCCCATCTCACAGTTCATGTTTGGGCATGATTTGTTGATCCTTTGCAGTTCCTGTTTTCTTTCCACCAGCTGCAGCATGCATCAGATGCTTAGTTTGGGCAAGGTGTGTCTCATGTGCATAGTAGAGCAGCTAGGATGCAGAAGAAGTTGTCTGCTCATTTTTCCAAGGCCAAATCTAGGAGTAGTCTGGGTAGTTTCACCACATTAAGTTCTGCTTCCTAACATTTAAGTATGACTAGATGTTATGTGACAACCTCCAGCAGTCTAGTGGAAATGTTCCTACCCATGGTGGGGGAGTTGGACTAGATGACATTTAAAAGTCCCCTTCCAAGCCATGTATTTCCATGTTTCTATAATTCTATGAAATAACATATAATGGCATACAGTTTCTCAGTAGGAGTGATAGTTTAAACATGATTTTACCCTGAAGGAATAGAGGTATGTTTTGTGAAAGATGTTATTCCCAATGAATTAATATATGGTGCTCACAGGTGGTTCTTCAATTTCAACCACCACATCTCATAATGTACAGTTTTACCTGACTGCTGCGTTCTTCTTCCAATTAAAAACAACAGCAGTTCCTATTTTTTCCCCCTGTGTGTTTACAGGGAGGTGGATAAGGTTTCTCTCCCCTTTCTGTATGTGTGGTCTGCTTCCCTCCAGGGAAAAGATGCTGGACTGGTATGAGGTATCCAATGCTACCTAGATATGCAGTTCCCCAGCGGGACCACAAGAATTTCTTTGCATAGCACTGAGAAGATGCAAAGTTAATAAGGTTCACTTTTCACTGATTTGGTAAATACAGAGAAAACTCTGGTGGGCACACTCAAAACCAATTTAAACCTTGCCTACACTGGTTGGTATTGTTTCCACAGCATCTTAGATATTCAATGTTATGGAACTATTAATAATAAAAACTAAATAATATAGGAATCAGAAACTTCAGTTTTGCAGTAAACTTGATACCTGATATGTGATAGTGCACAGTGGCCTTAGCCAGAGTATTTACATCAGAATGCAGAAAAAGTTACAGAGCACTCAGGTGAAACAGCAGAATAGTTTTTCAGGTAGGCAGATCATCACTCCCTCTTAGGGTCTGCCTTGGAGGCCAGAAGTCCCACTGATGCTTTTACAATTTTTTACAGAAAAGAACATTTTTTTTAGTTATTAAAAGATACAAATGAAGAAGCAAACATTGTTCTAATTTATCCTAATTTTGATGAAAATACCCTAATCTGTAAAACAAGCCAAAAGGTGGATTGTTGTCCTCTGTAATACTTTGTTCTCATTCAAAACTGAATTTGTTTTAGAACTCAGTTCAGTTCAAACAGAAAACACTGAAACAGAAAGTATTTCTATTGAGTTTGTAAGACATACATTGACTTGAGGCATTGTGCATGTGTTTTGGGTGTGCCAGTGAAATGCAAAGTTGTTCAGTTGTTCACATGGTGAAGAGAGCAGCATGTTCAGGGTTTTCCAACATAGTTGCATCTGATGTTAGCAGCACACCTTACCCTTGCCTAACATTTTTAAACTTCAGTATCACAGAAGACACACTTAGAGCCTTCCTATCAATGTGAAGAGTTGCAATTAATGCCTGAGGTTCATGACTGGAAGCTTTTAGCTGGGTCGCTTCCCAGCTACCACACTCCTGAAGTCAGAGTCCTCCCACGTGAAGCCTGAGGAGCTGGGGAGAGGATTTCCTCCCTTTCCTGACAACTTCACCCATTTTTATTTTGGGATTGAATCCTGAGCAGTGGGCATGGCTTTATGAATTCAGAAACATTTTACATAGTAGTCCTTGCAGTTGAGGTCATGATCTTTGTGAGGCTGAACTGTAGCTGGTCTCGAGGGATGGATGCTTTACTTTCATCCATCTTCTCTGAATGTGAGGAGCAGTTGTGAAGGGAGAGACAATTCCTCAACTTTAATAACTAATTTTTTTTGCATTACAGTGCTAGTGATAAGGAAAATGCAGATTTTTTTTTTCTTTACATAATAAACTGATCTATTAATCAGATACAAGTTCATGTGTTTGTTTTTGGCCCACATGGAGAGGGTAAAATCTGTGAGGTTTATTAAAAGGATGGTGCAGAGGCAGGGGAAGAGGATTTCCCGGGGAGCCCAGGTTCATAGAAGGGCTGTGTCAGCTGGGAAGGCTCTGGATAGAAGTCTTACACTGGGTGAAGACCTGGGGTTCCTGCCCTCCTTAAGTCCTGGAACGAGCAAATGTACCTCAGGAATCTTCATACATGTAGAAAAGACAAGTATCACATTTTACAGAACAAAGCAAGATGTCAATGCCAAGCTCATAATATAAAATCTTGATACAAAAGATGGAACGTTGCATGTGTATTGTATGACATCACCTAAGGAAAAAGTTTTTGTGGGCAGGATAACCAGAGTTAGCATCTGGTCAGTGCTACCCAAGATAGGTGCTTTGGACAGCAATAGTTGCTGTTCTCATCTGCTGTGTTCATTCATTCTGCTCCTCTGGAGACGATGGCATGTACGGTGCAGTTCTATGTCTGAGTAGGGCTTTGAGTCTGCACGTGGTAAAATATGAAGTTTTTCAGATGATTCAAAGCCTGATGAGGTTGTGGTGGCCCTTCTATACCAAGAGATTTAATCCTCCAGTCTCCCACTGTTCATCAAGAAATCCCAGTTTTTGCTGAAATTAACTTTATACTCATAAATGATTTAGAAGGGAAGCAAAGGTGAGGAAGGGTCTAGAAAGTCATATGAGGAGTGACTGAGGGAGCTGGAGTTTTTTAGCCTGGAGAAGAGGAGGCTCAGGGGAGGGAGACCTTACTGCTGTCTACAGCTATCTAAAAGAAGGTTGTAGCAAGGTGGGGGTCAGCCTCCTCTCCCGGGCAATGAGCAACAGGATAAGAAATGGCCTTCAGATGCACCAGGGCAGGTTCAGGTTGGATATGAGGAAGAATTCCTTCATGGCAAGAGGGATGACCCTGATAACTACAGTATTGTCAGTCTCACTCCAGTGCCTGGTTAAACTAAGGAGAAGATTATTCTGGGAGTTACTGAAAAACCCCTGAGAGAAAATGTGGTCATTGGTCATAGCCAGCATGACGACACAAGGGGAGGGTCCTGCTTGACAAGCTAATTACCTTTCATGACAAGGTAGCTCACCTTGATGATGATGTGATCTTTTTTGATTTCAGTAAAGCTTCTGACAGTCTCTCACAGGATCCTTCTGGATATGCCATGCAGTAGGGGCACAGCTGGCTGACGGGTCAGACACAAAGGGTTACAGTGGATGGGGTGGCATCAGGCGGGTGACCTGTCACCAGTGCAGTTCCACAGGGCTCCATCTTAGGGCCAGCGCTCCTCAACATCTTCACGAATTACTTGGATACAGAACTCAAGATTAATTCAAAGATATAAACTGGGACACTAAATTGGGAGGAGCTGTTGAAGGCAAAGAAGCCCTGCAGAGAGATCTCAGCTAATTAGAAGGCTGGGCAATCACCAATCATATGAAGTTTAACAAAAACGGGTGCTGGATTCTGCACCTGGGACAGGGCAAGCCTGGAGGTATGGACAGACCAGGATGCACAAGGTTGGGAGACCAGCCCTGTGGAAGTAGACCAGTGGGCCCTGGCTGATGGCAAGTTGAACATGGTCAGCAGCCAGGAGGGCCAGCCCTGTCCTGGGGGAACCAGGGACAGCATCACCAGCCAGGCAAGGGAGGGGATTGTCCTGCTCTGCTCTGCTCTGCACTGGGGCAGCCTCACCTCGAGTGCTGGGGGCAGTTCTGGGTGCCACAGTGTAAGAGAGACATAAAACTAATGGAAAAGAGGAGGGTCACAAGGATGGTGAAGGATATGGAGACGAAGCCATATGAGGAGCAGCTGAGGTCACCTGGTCTGTTCAGCCCAGAGGAGATAGAGGGGAGGTCTCCCAGTGACCTGCAGGTAAAACAGGTGGACAGGCACTGATTTCTTCTCTGTGATGAACAGTGGCAGGACCCAAGGGAGCAGTCTGAAGTTTTGTTGGGGGAGGTTTAAGTTAAGTACAAGGAAAAGGGTCTTCACCCAGAGTGTGGCTGGGCACTGGAAGAAGCCCCCCAGGGAAGGGGTCACAGTGCACCAGCCTGGCACAGTTCAGTACTGTCGTGGTCCAGAGGTGCACAATGCTCTCAGGCACGTGATATGACTCTTGGGTATCCTGTGCTGGGCCAGGAGTTGTTGTTCACTGATTCTTGTGGGCCCCTTCCAACTCAGGACATTCTAAGATTCTGTGGCTTTGTTTGGTTTCATAGCAACAGAATGTTTGGCACTGGGCAGAAGCTGGCCAGGGCTGACACAGATAGAGAGATTAGGGAGAAGTTTGGAATGTGTTGGATTTTCTCCCTTCTTTTTGTTTGTCCAGACTCGCCTTTTTGAAGGAGAGAGTAAGAGATGATTCACTCCTTGATTTAGGCAATACCTGTTCAGGCAGGGGTGGTAGGTGTTGTCCTTGGTAGCCAGGGAGACACTGGGCAGAGGCATGGGGTGGGCTTCACAGAAAGGCAACACCACATAGATCTTCTCCCTCCAAAATAAAAAGCCAGGGCAGGTTACCTGTTTTCCCCTCTAGAGGGCTTTTTTTCATATGGCTGAAAACCTGCCTTTGGTTAGGAGCAGTTTTTAAAAGTGATTTTTTTTTCCAAGAACACGGATACATAAAGGAAGTTGGTAAAGGAGAAACCTAGATTAGACATTGGGCTGGGATTAATTTGAAGAAGAGATGAAGAAAAGCACCTGCTTGCTGTGGGGGAACGTGGGATTTTTGGCTTCATAGGGATATATGAATGTCTCACTTCATTTTGAGGATGATGAGGCACTGCAACAGATTGCCCAGAGAAGTTGTGGATTCCCCATCCCCGGAATTATTCGAGGCCTAGGGGAAGGTTCCCTGCTCATGGCATGGATTTTGGAAGGAGATTATCTTTGAGGTCCCTTCCAACTCAAACTATTCAATCCTTCTCTGAGATCTGTTTTTTCTCTTTCTTTGTTAGCATACCTGGAGACTGTTTCTAAAACCTGCACTTTGTACGAAATAGGTATGTGTTGGCTGACCCTGGTCTGTACCTGGCAACACCCAGGAGATAACATTTCCTTCTTTCTGTTGCCCTAGGATAAAAATACTTGGGACAAAGAGGCACGGGGAAAGGCAAAGTCAAGGGAGAACAGACAAATGAAAAAGCTCTGCTTTGACAAGCTGCAATTTGAATGCAGCTACAGCTTGCACGACCTGACATCAAAGGGAATGCTAAAGATGCCCAAGTTAGTCTTGAAGTATATTTGAATGCACATCTCAGTATTTAATTTTCATACCTATGTGAGATGTCCAGGCATCTGAGCCACATTTGCTGGCCCCACCATTTTATTGGCTCTGGAAGCACCCTGAAATAACTTCTGTTTGAAAGAAAATACTGGGAGCTGTTCAATTTAAAAGCAAAGTAGAGTTTATTTTAAGCTAAGTAGAGCTAAGTTTACTGCTGCACTTGTTATGTGATTCTAGTCTCATTTTAATTTGGGGATAGTAACAATACTGATTACACTCAGCCAGTAAAGCCAAGCTATGTGGAAGAGGATCTCTGTATTTAGCTTTTATTGTGGTAATACCTCAGTTGTTAATGTGCTACAGGAATTTTATTAAATAACATGCTATATAAAAAGGGGCCACATGTATTTTTGTGGTCACATCCAAGGTTGTGTCACATGGCACAGAGCAGGATGGATGCACTACTGCTTACTGCTACCACCCCTTTTGCCTTCAGAAGGGTACCTTCTTTATACATTCACACCAGTGGATCAAAGTGCTATGTCTTTATCCACCTCTGTCTTCAGGGCAAGTTACACGTATTTTCCAGAAGGAATCTGAAGAGAGACAGGAGACTTTGGGCTTATAAGATCTTGTTGGCACATGACAGGAAGGAAATTCATTTTCCCTTGAACATCTTCATGAGCCAGCTCCAGTGTTTGTGATAATGAGAATGCAGTGTTTGAATTCTAAAGCTTTCAGATTCATGCTTTTTAAAAAAACAATACTAATATCTACTGTTAGGCACACATTCTTTGCAGACTTCCTAGACATGCCTGTGCTGCTCCTGTTGAATGCCTTGTCGTTACTCAGGAAAATAAACAATCCTTCCTACTCACATGAATGACAGTAATGTCTTTGCCAATCCATGGTTTGCTGTACTTCAGTTTGTGGCTCATTAGAGATTTTAAAAATGTTTGGAAAAAAACTGTGGGAGTCCTGTTCTGATACTCTTATTTGACTGGAAATCATGTGGTTTATTGCCTTCACTTAGCCAATTCAGGGAAATGAAATTTTAGAATTATGATTAGGAAGAAACTAGAGATTACCAGTCGCCTTCCTAATAAGGTGGTATTTATGCTGTAGGCAGACCGGTGTGCACATATCTTTCTTTGAGGTTGGAATAATCTCTGATTATTTCAGAGATGATTTCAGATTAGGGTAAAACTATGTCTTTTTTTTCTTGCAGAATGAAGAGACACAAGTGGTCCTACAAATGCCCCTCACGAAGGAAGATCTTGATTCTGTGTGTTACTGGGTGGCTGATTGCACTGCTGAAGCTCCTCCATGTCGAAAGACACTTTTTTCCCTCGAAAGGCATTTACTTAGTTGAGCACTTCTTGAGCACTTCTTCTTATGTCAGAAACAGATATTCATACTCTAGAAATGAGTTCCAGTATGAAATTAATTGTTCGTCTATATATGAACAAGATCCTCATGAAATTGGGAAGAGTTTAGAGATAAGAAGAAAGGAAATAGTTGATTTAGCTGATGAAGATGTTGTAGCAATGACAAGTGACTGTCATGTATATCATTCACTTAGGAAATACCAGCTAAAACTTGTTTCTGCAGAGGAGGAGAGTTTTCCAATTGCCTATTCTTTGGTTGTTCACAAAGATGCAGCAATGGTAGAAAGGCTCATACATTCATTGTACAGTCGTCAAAATATTTACTGCATCCATTATGATCAAAAAGCAGCAAAAAGTTTCAAATCTGCCTTGAACAATCTTGCTAAATGTTTTCCAAATATTTTCATTGCATCGAAATTGGAGACAGTGGACTATGCACATATTTCACGTCTGCAAGCAGATTTCAATTGTTTGTCTGATTTGATGGACTCTCCCGTTCCTTGGAAGTATGCTATCAATTTGTGTGGCCAAGATTTCCCTTTGAAGTCAAATTTTGAGTTGGTGGCTGAACTGAAGAAACTTGGTGGAGGAAACATGCTGGAAACTTCAAAGCCAAGCAGTAGCAAAAGAGAACGATTTACTTATCACTATGAGCTTATGAAAGTGCCTTATGAATACATGCAGATGCCTGTAAAAACCAACATTTCCAAGAATCCGCCACCTCATGATATTGAGATATTTGTAGGCAGTGCCTATTTTGTTTTAAGCCGAGAATTTATTCAATATACCCTCGAAAGCTCACTTGCAAAAGATTTTTTTGAGTGGTCAAGGGACACATACTCTCCAGATGAACATTTCTGGGCCACTCTGGTACGTGTCCCCGGCGTCCCTGGGGAAGTTCCGAGATCATCCCAAGATGTAACAGACTTACAAAGCAAAACTCGTCTGGTGAAATGGAATTATCTTGAAAACTATTTGTATCCTCCATGCACTGGTACCCACCTTCGCAGTGTCTGCATCTATGGGGCTGGAGAATTAAGATGGCTTCTGAATTACGGACACTGGTTCGCCAACAAGATCGACTCCAAAGTAGATCCTGTCCTGGTAAAATGCTTGGCAGAAAAGGTTGCAGAACAACAGAAGGAGTGGGTACATTTGTCGTCTGATGAGCACTTTCTGCACTTAAGTTCTACGAATGCCTTGACATAGCAGCACTGTGTTCCCTGCTGTTTGCACAGCACCTGCAGTTCTGCTGCCTTGACCTGCTGCAGGATGGCAGTGAGGAAAATGTCCATTCTGTGTAATGTCCAGGGCCCTGCAGAGCCAGTGCCTGGCTATTTATTTAAGTAATTTCTCGCTGATTAACTGTTTTGCCACATTAAACCTGTAATTGTCTTCAGGGTGATTCTGAGATGGTGAAGTTTGCTTTTGGAAGCTCTTGTGCTCTGTGTCCCAGTGGAGTATTTTACTTCAAGTGTGTTTGTATCTTTCATAAGAAACTTCAGCACTTCTGTCTGCCTGTCCTGTTTTCCTTCACTTTTGCTTTTATTAAAGGAATAAAGGGAAGACCTCTGTATCTGCTACCTCAGGAAAACTGCAAGTGCCCATCTCACAGAAAAAAAACAAGAGATCAGCATGAACACCAAATAAGCCATGTGACCTCACCTGAAGTTCCACACTTCTCATCTGTGGGAGCTGCACAGATCTTTGCAATGTGAATATGACTGGATGATATAAGGGAAAGAAGATCCCTGCATACTGCATTGTGTGTACCATTATTCTCTTCTCCCAGCTAACTTGGGTGCTGCTTTTCCTTCTACAAAGCATGTGATCAGAAACTGTGCCAACACTGTTGGTTTCACAGACAGTGAAAGTTGGTTAAACAGTTGTGCACTATTGAGTGCATACAGTTGTGTGTTCTCCAAAGGCAGAATAAATTCATGCCCTAAGGACAGTCTCTGCAGCCACTTGGGGGAGGTGTTCGTGCCAAAAGAGTTCAGTCTTCATTTCTATCTCTGCCTGTAGGAATGGCTTTATGTGAAATCCCAGTGCTCTTGAGACAGTATCCCTACACACAGAGCTATTTTCAGTTGGTATTCAGCAGTGTGGTGCTTTGTTGAAGTGTTGAACACACAAAGTTGAACAGTAATCATAAGAATAGCCATATTACAGAAATGAAGTGTGTTTCTGTGCAAGTCCCGTGGGTGTGCACTGCCATGATCCCAGGCTGACAGGTGCCTGAACGGGCCCTGGTTCAGCTGTGGAGCAAGAGTTCTCCAGTCCCTGCTTGCCATGGCCCTGCCAGGCCTCCTAGCAGTGAAGTGGCTCAGGAGCCTTCTCGCGGCTGGGCTTCCCACACTCCTTCATGAGGGAAGTGTTTGCAAGTGCAGGGGTCTCTGCAGAAACTCCTGCAACTCAGAAATGCCACTGGCATTTTGGGGGTTTCTCTGGAGTGCTGCCCTGCCACAAGTTCAGTTTTGGTGGTTCCAGTGGATCCCGGAGTTTAGCTTTCTCCATGCCACTGTCTTCTTTCTAGCCATCTGTCCTTTATTAAGGGTTCTTTCCCCCTGAGTGACTTTGGGATATCTGTGTCTGGTCGTACTAATCTACAGATTGCTCTAATAATGACCATATCTCATATCAATGAGAAATCTTTGTTCCTTATTTGAGCAGAAAGAGTCAAGCTGCTTTTTGGTCTCAGATTTTGTTTATAAATTTAGTCACGGCGAAGTCATTCGTGGCTCAAGACTGGCTTGAGAGTCAGGATTCTCAGGCATTTTTCCACATTCGTGACACTGATTTTCAGTAAGATCTCAGACAAGCCACCTGAGTTTTCTGTTTCAGCTGTTCCCATTGTAGAATGGGAACCATAATCTTCTATTGTCTTGCTACGCACTTTGAAACCTGTGGGTGTTGTAGGTTTGGTTGCACAATACTAATTATTTAGTATTCACTTATTTTGTGGATAATTTATTATCCACAAAACTGTTTCTGGAGTCTGTGGCTGCACAGGTTAAGTATTTCTTAAATGTACTGTTTCTGAAATAAATGGGGATTATTTTTAACATCTGTGTTAAAACTAAATACTTCAGTGACATGCCCTGTCTACCCAAGACTGTCCTGACTTGATGTAATTTATAAATACTTTGTAGAAAATTAAATATTGATAGTATTTACAGATTCATATGTTAGTGCTTGCATATAAAATAGAGTCCTCATGTGCTAAAAAAGTTAATAAAAGAGAATGTTAGGATCCAAGAGGGCCAAGCTACAGCCTTCTATACATATAAATTAATGCTTAATGATATATTTGAAATTTTGTATTTATTTAAACTGGCTGTATGTATGTATTTGCACATATACCCATTTGGGTTTAATTGTAGTTTGATCTGCCATAGATTTATAAAAATAATCCACCAGCAAATTAAACTTCGTTGAAAACTGTAATTTTAATCAGCATGCAGCTTTGTGCTATTTTAATTGGGTTGGGTTGGGTTGAATGATGCCTGTCATTTAGCTGGTTTGGAAGAAGGCACCTCGTAGTTCCAAGGTGGCGGAGAAGCGGAGGCGGATGTGGCGCGGCGTGAGGCAGCATCCGCCACTGCCACCGTGTCTCCTGGATGAGGAGGTGGGCGGCGTGCAGACACAGCTGCAGCTCTAGGAAATGCTGGTTTTCCAATGAATTCAAGGCGTTTCTGCTTGCGGCTTTAAAGGCCATCCAAGGTTGTAGAAAACAGTTCACAAAAATCAGTCGTTGGATTGGTGAGGCTGGAAGATCCTCTAGTCCAGCCTCTTGCTCACAACAGGATCAACACTGAATTTGAGCTGGGTTGTTTGGGTTTTCCCGAGACTCTTGCAGATCTCTAAGGAAGGAGGAATATTTTCCATTGTTTCCAAAGAAAAGAGCAATCAAAATATAAGTGTCTTAACTTCTGAATAGTTTTCTCTTTGTTTTTTGGCTTTGCATTCAGCAGTGTTGCCATACTGTCATGCCTGGATCACAGTTAAGTGATTAGATGACAGGGGTGTGTAACATCCTCAGCATCACTGTTCTTTACATGGGTAGGTCTGCTATTGCTGGACCCAAGGAGTGATACACAAACTTTCTGTGAGGAAGTTGGCTGAACGGCTGAACCTAGTTTATGGCAAAACAAAGTTTTATTTTGGCTGAATCTTAGATTATAGGCACTTACCTGCTCTCACATGGTTTGTTGGTTTTTTGGGGTTTTTTTTTGTTTCTTTTTTTTTTTTTGGTGGTTTTCTTTGTTTGTTTGTTGGTTTGGTTTTATTTTCCTTAGTAAAGCTTAGATTTCCTTTTTTCCTTTTTCTTTTTTCCTCTTCATTCTTGTCCTGACTTCTGAGAGAGAGTCCCATTGTAAATTATTTCACAAATTTGAAGTACACATGCATTTGCACATATTGGTTTCTTCTGTATTTGTTCTGCTGAAGAAGCACTATGCTGGCCTTCTTCCACCCACCCTGCCCTGTGCTGGTCACATGGAGAATCTGGACTATCAGTTGGCCTAGTTTTCCCATTCAGGAAGGATGCATAAGCAGGGCAATAGTACTGCTCCTGGCTGTCAGCACTGGTGTACATGTCCTGCCCACCATTTTATTAGTGTCTGAAAACAGCAAAAATGCTGAATGCATTCCAACACAGACAAATTAAGTAAGGAAGAAAAGGAAATAATGAGCTTTAGTGGAAGAGATGCAGAGCCAACATTTGTACTACTTGTCTTGTTAATGAATTTATTAGGCTAGACATGTAATCCGGAGGATAGTATGTACCAACATAAATGCCTCACTACGTATTTTCTTTGGCATGGGAATAAAAGGATGTGAAAGGAAAGACTGGGAATTAGACTCTAATCTGTAATTGTAATTAAAATGGACTTGGCCTGTTGAGTATTTCTATGACTACAGTGTCATTAGTGTGGCGTTTAAATCAGAATGTATAAACATAAGAAAACCAGTAGGTGGGCAGCAAATGTGGAGTATATGTGGTGCACTAATGTGTGTTTACAGTGTGACCTTGAGTTTTATTTCAGGTATAATATCTGTTTTAGCTTGATGTTTTTGCAGAACCTGGGTTGTTCTTGGTGGTGATAATTTTGGCTCACAGAAGTGATACTTCAGAACACAGTGATCTGTTACTGAGATGCAGTAAATCTGTACTGAAAGTACCCCAGTGCTCTTTAGTATTTCAAGCTGACAGTTACACACTCTATCCCAGTCCTGTTTCTTCAGAGCTACGTAACTCTTTCATTTTCTATGGCTAAGGGATACCCATCTTTATAATACCAGTCTTTTTTAGAAGACAGAGAAAGCAAAAACCACAAACCTTTGTATGAGGCATTTTCTCAAGTAGGAAAGTCTGTGGCAAGTTTTTGGTAGCAGGAGGAGGGTGGGGGTAGATTCTCTGAGAAGATGCCAGGAACTTCCCAGCATATCTGATAGAACCTGTGCCAGCCAGCTCCAAGATGGACTTCCTGCTGGACAAGGCTGATGATGATAGCACCTCTGGGATAACGTATTTAATCAAGGAAAAAAGCCATACCAAGCAACAGCAGCTACAGCCAGAGAAGAGAGGATTGAGACTGTGAGACACACCTCAGTACAAAGGTACCTCTTCCACATCAGTGGAGAAGGAGAGCAGGAGGTGCTGCACATGCTGGAGCTGATTCCCCTGCAGCCCTTGGTGCAGGCCAGGGTGAAGCAGCTGTGCCCCTGCAGGCCATGGGGATCCATGGTGGAGCAGAGATCCACCTGCAGCCCCAGGAGGAGTCCACAGTGGAACAAGTGGGTGCCCAAAGGTGGCTGCAACCCCACGGGAAGTCCACACTGGAGCAGGGTCCTGGCAGGACCTGTGACCCCATGAGGGTACCATGCTAGAGCAGGCTGTGCTTGAAGGATTGCTCCCTGAGGAACATAGCACCATGAGGAAGGGGTGAGGGAAGGTGGGGTTTTTAAAATGTGTTTTTAATTTCTTATTTCCCTAGTCTTGATTGGTAAGAAATTTATTTGCCCCAAGCTGAGTCTGTTTTGTCCATGACAGTAATTAATAGGTGAACAATCTCTCCTTGTCCTTACCTCAACTCAGAAGCCTTTCATTACATTTTTTCTCCCCAGGCCAGCAGAGGAGGGGGGTGACAGAATGGCTTTTGTGAGCAGCTGACATCCAGCCAGGGTCAACCCAACCTAGATGGGAAGGAGCTGGATGGTATTTTTTAAGGGAGGCAAAGACAGTAAATTTTATTGCTACTGAGCCCCCATTTATATCTTAGCAGAGATTTAGGTGGAAATGCTTACATATAGCATGGTTGCTGCAGCCATCTCTGATCAAGGTAAGCAAGACTTGAGTTAGTGCATTTTAAAAACAAAAATGATTTAGCAAAGAAATTCCTGAAGCCTGTATCAGTTTCTTGTCTTATAAAAAACAGGTGCTTAAAAATTTACTGGAATTTGACTAGGGGATTACAAAGACTCAGGGTACTATGCTGGTTGCATCAGAGAGGGCAAAAAAAGGAGCATCTGATTTTTCTGCTCATGACAGGTGAATGGTTTTTAATGATGCTTTCTGTGTTATATGTAGTAACTAATTTTTACTATGAGCTAGTTTGAAAAGCTATTGACTTGACATCCCATTTGCATCTTAAGCATTTGCTTCTAACACATGTGGGCTTACTTAAAAGACTCTTCCCTGGGCTACAATTACAGACTTCATTGTGATTTACATTAAACAACAACAGCTTTTTTATTGCTGAGCCTCTTTTCTCTGCCTGAGTTTGTGCTCTGAGATGGAAAGGATGGCAAGTCTAAGTTTTGCCTGGGGCAATGAGAAGATGCCAGAGTATACAGGGATGCTGCAGGTGGCATTATTACCACCATACCAGCTGTTATGCTACTATATTTATAGCCATTATGCTATTAATGTTGTTGTGGCATAACAGCTGGAAAATAAGAATAACTGTGACTTATACTGTAGAGGTTCAAATCACCATTTAATAGTAACTGTGACAGGAATTGGAAATCACAATTGGAAGTAACTACACACAAATATTTCAGCATTAAATTGCTAGAGACCATAGGAAGTAGGATAAAAATACAGGTGGTATAAGCATTTTTATCTGATGTATCGAATAATTAGTAGTAGATCCATTTCATGACCTTTCAGATAGCAGAAAGCAGAAGTACTCTTGCTACAGAGGTTTGATATAGCAGAATTGAAGATCCCAATTTACTTCCTCCAAGCAATGTTATACTTGCTTTTCCCCCACTACTGTTGTTTCTTACCTTTTAATGCAGCAGTCCCAGCTTTTTTTATGGTTGTAAGACACCCATCTCAATTAAATTTTATTACTTAGTGCTCATTTACTCGAAGTTGCTTTGGAGTCCAAAACTGTCTTTCTGCCCCTGAAGCAGTTCTAAGGATTCTTAGTGCAATCGGCATGTGCCATAGGTGGATTTCTATCTAATTGACTTTAGTGGAACATCTGCATATGCTCAGATATCCTGGGCCTGAACTGGTTCATTTATGTGCTCGAACCACAGGGAGATTAACTGTATTTTACTCCACTTGTATTTGAAGGGAAAAACTATCAAAAATATCCTTTTCTCTCTGTTCTCTCTGCCAAACTTAATTTCTTCCTCTTGTGTAGAATTCTGTGTGGTGCAGGAGATATATAAATTTATATGTAGATATAGACAGTTATAGATAGTTATATCATATATATATATATGATAGATAGATATAGATGATATATAAGGCTGTATCAAGAAGGTATATCCAAGGGAGTAAAATTAGGTACATCATAAAAAAATAGAAAAGATGCTTTGGAAAAGCAATTGCAAGTAATTGAAAAAACAGGTGATGCTGTGACTTGAATAGGGATGACATAGAGCTGTTATTGTAAGAAGTTGGAGTCACTGTTCTAACTTTTGTATTGCTAACAATATTCTTTAAAATGCTCTCTTAGTTCCAAGCTGTTGCTCAACTGGGATGTGGATGCATCCCTCTCTGCAGAACAAAGCTGTACTTCTGTGAAACCATCAGCACGCCTTGGTGGTTTATTTCTTTTCCAGGTCTCAGACTCCAGAACTGGGCATGGTGGAAGAAGAGCAGAACCAGAAAAGCATGTATCTGTTGACATGCAAGTGACTGGACAAGTCAGCCTCTTGAGGATGATGGAGGTGCCTCCATGAACCAAGCTGGAGCAGGAATCAGGCTACTTGACCAGCACAGCAAGCATTGTCTCTGTTTCTTTTCATTAGAGCACATGAGCATTATAATTTTCCAGACCAGCCAGCTAATTGTATTATCTGTGTTGTTTTTATTGGCTGAAGAATCATGACAGTCTCTCTTATGGCTTTCTTAAATTAAGATTTATTTAAAGACTGTACATAGATCTTTGGAGCAGACAGAGTATGACTTCAATTACTGTATGTCTTGTCCT